CTGGGAAGCAGCTGCTTCTGTGGTCTGGCTCCTTGTCCTACCTTCAAGCTTCCCAGGGCTGTGAAACAGAAGATGTGTGTTCTTGCCATGTCTCCCCATTGACTTAATAACAAGTAGCAAAGACAGAGCAGTGAGCTTGGGGATGGCCTTGTGCTAGGCATCTTTTGGGGCCAGAGAGATAAAATTGGAATATAGTGCTCTGCTGATGTTTGTAACAGCAAGATTCACCCAGGAGAACCTGCTTCAGATTTGACACTGTTTATTAAATTGGTGCTTCTGAAGTTTGAATTTCTAGGGGAAGGACTACATTTTACATATGAAAAGTTCTAGGAATAGGGTGAAGGGATCATCTTTTTCAATTAGCCTTTCACTACAAACAAGGGACATTAGTTTGAAAAGTGGAATCTTCTTTGTGGCAGAGCTGGGGCTGTTCACTGAAAACAAAAAAGGAGAAAAAAAAAAGGTGAGAGCTGGGCTTTGTGCTGCCCATTGTTGAGCACTGACTACTGTGAGTCTTAGGATAAAATTGAGGTGTTGAGAGGTGAATTGGGGCTAGTGACTGTGCCAGGAAAAATTCCAATCTCCAGAAGAAATCTTTAATCCCTTAAATCCTTATGCTACTTGATTTTGGTTCCCTGTAAGGGTGTGATTTATATGTATGCCTATGCCAGGATGAGCTCTGGATAGAGTTCTGCAGCATCAGAATTCATCCTTCAGTTTCTTACATGGAAAGTCATTCTACTTTTGACTCTATTTCAGGGGTACCCTCGTGCAAACAGTCAAATCTCACACTTCATGTAAAATATCCATTGATTTCATATCTGTTTGGAATTACTCCAGTGTGAAAAACCTCATTCCCAGAACAGCATTGTGTTGATTTTCTACTTTGGAAACATAGGTGGACAAACCTGCTGTCTCTCCCCAGCTGTTTGCGTCCTGTGCCAAGTCCAGGAGCTGGGGAAAGGCTATGGTACTGCACAGGAGCCAGGGAGGATGTGCCCTTGGTATGGCCTTAAACACCAGCTCCTAGGTGCCCACGTGCCCTGGTGATGCACAGCAGTGGGTGGCTGGGAAAGGAGGATGTCTGTCGCATGACTCAATGAAATCTCAGTCACCAGGCAAGGAAAAGGTACAAAGAACTGCAGGATACACTGGATGTATTCAGGTCTGCTGCACAGCTGAATTTTGGCAGGGCCTTTGGAAGACTGCTGTGTCAAGCAACATTTCTGTAGCTGGCAGGAGGCCCCTCTGTGCTGGACTTACATTACATAAGGATGGCAAACAGAGCAGGAAGGCAGGAATGTACAGGAATATTCCTTATAGCCTTTGCCTCTTTCCACTTTTTTCTCTCCATTCTTTCTTTCTGTCTTTCTTGTCCAGTTCTTTCTTTCTCTTCTCACTGCATTGCAGGGATTGTTGGCTGGACAAGACCTATGGCACATCACTTCTGCTTCTTCTTTGCAGTGCAGGCAGACCTGAGGCAGGAGGATGCAGTGTGGCTGCTGCACCACAGGCATAGTTTATTTCCTCATCTCAGGAAGCTCAATTTTATCAGTTAGGGAAATGCAACTGTCTTGGCTTGCAGGAAGGAGTAGTGGATCCTTGCCTGACCTCTTTGTCTGTGGAGGGAACCTGCAGTCTTGGGGAGGAAAGGTGCAGGTTAGAAATGCAAAAAGTCAGATAGTAAAATGATACAGTGAGGCTCTGCTAGGAACTAAGATGCAGAATCTCAAATGAGAGGTTCGTGTAGATATTGTTGATAAACTGCATGGCATAGATAGTTTTATTTCCCAGGAAAAGACAGGGAGGCATCATGAACTTTTTTTATAATTTTGTTTTCCTTGCAGAATCCTTTTTTTTTTGGGGTAGTTTCAAATGACACTATCTTTTCTGTCTGTTCAGTGCTTAGGAAGTTTCAAGAGTGTATGAGCTCTCCAGTAGTCTGTACAGGCACAGATCCTTCCTAGTTCAACCTCATTA